GATGGATCATTGTCTTGATTAATAACTGAATTTGGAGGGTCGAATCTACTGTGGGTAGTATCACCCCTGGGCAGGTGATTCTGGATGATATAGAAAGCAGGCTGAGCCGGGCAGTGGTGGCGCACGCCTTATTTAATCCCAGCACTTGGGAGGCAGAGGCAGTCGGATCTCGGTGAGTTCGAGGCCAGCCTGGTCTACAGGACAGGCTCTAAAGCTATACAGAGAAACCCTGTCTCGAAAAACCAAACAAACAAAAACAAAAACAAAACAAAACAAAAAAAGAAAAAGAAAGCAGACTGAACAAGCCACTTGGAGCAAGCCAGAAAGCAGCACCCCTCCATGGCCTCTGCTTTAGTTCGTCTCCAAGTTCCTGCCTTGAGTACCGACTCTGACTTCTCTCAATGATGATGAATTATAGCGTGGAAGTGTAAGCTGAAATAAATCCTTTTGTCCCCAAATTGCTTTTGGTCACGGTGTTTATCACAATAAGAAGCAAACCAGGACAGAAGTCACATCTGTGGTCTTCAGGTACCCATACACATGCCAGGAACATATACTTAAACAGCTAGTGTACACAATCATCATCAGATCAACACCTGCCTCTGGTCAGCCATGCAAACCTGCAGCTTCCAGAAGACCCAGTATATACCAAGGTTCTGTGGTGGGAGGGTGCAGGTGTGTGTAGGGGATGAAGGAGGGTACTGGGCTACCTCAGTGTTGTCCCCTAGTTTTCCAAAAGGGACTCCAACTTAGCCAGCATGTTGCAGTCCATCACAACATCAGTCAGTTTCTTGTGAAGTCTCCAGGTGCATGCTCCCATCTGGGTCCTTTAGTCTCTTGGCTCTCACTTTAGCTACAAAGTTCCCCTAATTCAGTCTGCTCTTCCTTGTCCAATCAGGTGAGGGCAGGTCTTTGTGGCTATGTCTTGGCAACCTCAGTAGACAGGGACAACTTTGGAATAAGGGAGGGCAGCTATAAATCCTAGTAGAAGCAGCTAGCTCTCCTGCCTAGAGGTCAATGTGGTCTACAATGAGGGTACTATCCACTGGAGACCCAGCAGTAGAGCCCAACAGGGTGACAGTCTTCAGCATCTCCACAAGCTGACCGGACCCACTACTTAATGTGCTTTGCTGGCCTCTCAAGGACATCAGTGACTGGCTGTCTCCCATCCAGGGGAAGAAAAAACCTTCATAGGAAGGCTCATAGAATAGATTTCCCACTGGCCTTGAAATCTTCCAGACTTCCTGGGAAACCAGTGGGATCCAGTTCCTGTGCTCATCTGATGAAGAAGCAGGGTCACAGACGGTGACTCATTGGGTGAGGCCAAAGAGCAGAAGAAGTTGGAACTAGATCTCTTGAGTCCTACAGAAAACAGCCTTTTACTCTTGAAGAGATCTGTCTATTCCATCTGCCTGTCCATTCAGTTGTCTGTTAATGCATCTATGTGTCAATCCATTTTTCTATACATGTATTCATCTGTCCACCCATTTATATCTACTCATACATTCATTCCTCCAACTGTTAACCAGTCCCTTCATCCATCCATCCACCCATCCTCCTACTTACTTATCCACCCATCAACCCATCCATTCATCTATCCAGCTTTCTAGTCATCCTTCTCCATCAAACCATACTTTCATCCATGCACTATATCCACCCACCTACTCATTCATCTATTCATCCATGCATCATCCACATCCATATATTCTCCCATCCATACATTCACCATCCATCTACACACTTATCCACTAAGTCCACCATCCATTCACTTATTCACTCATCTAACGACCCACACAGCTTTCTATCTCCTCACTCATCGATTCATCCATCCATCCATCTTCCCATCTACCCACACACCACTTACCCATTTATTCCATCCATTGATCCATCCATAATCACATCCATCCACACATCACATTCATTCACCAACCCATCCACCTGTAAATCCATTCATTCACCCATTCATCCCATTGATCTATTGATCCATTCATAATCACACCTATCCCATTCATCCACCCTCCACTCACCCACCCACCTACCCATCCACCTATCCATTCATCACATCCACCCACTGATTCATCATATCCATCCATCCATCCATCCATCCATCCATCCATCCATCCATCCATCCATCCATTTCATGCACCCACCCACCCATCCATTCATCTAATTATCCATTCATCAATCCATTCATTCACTCATCACATCCATCCATTGCATCCATTCATCCATCACATTCATTCAACCATCATCCATTCATCAATTTATTTACCCATTCATTCATCCATTCCATTCATTGATTCATCCATAATCATCACATCCAACCACACAATCCCTCCCATCATCCCAATCATCCATTCATTCATCCCTCCCTCCATCCACCCATCCATCTCATCCATGCACCCATTTATCACATCTATCTATCCATTCACTCATTCATCACATCCACCCATCCACCCACTCATCTGTCTACCCACATACCCATCCATCACATCAATTCATTTATCATGCCCTTCCACCCACCCACCATCCATGCATCCATCCATGCATCCATCCATCCATGTATCCATCCGTCCATCCACCCACCTATCATCTCACCCATCTACACATTCAGTAACTATTTGTAAGGCGCAGATATGTGTAAGATCCTGCACGAGGTAGTGAAACACATCTCCCACAGTAAGGAATGTGTTGACAGTGCTGTGAAAAAGAACATGTGGCCCTTGACCCTCTCAGGGCCAGTGAAGTGGATCTGGGGATGGGAGCACACACAGTCCACATCCAGGGATCAGCATCATCATCTGCTCTGTATTTCCTTTTCTCTGGGGTTCTATGGGTGGCAGAAAGAGAAGAGAAGAATATCGTTCAGGAACTTCCATCTGGAACCTACCTGTAGGCTCCACTGGGTGGATTGCATTAGCTGTCTCCATCTACACATCCACACGTCTATCACATTCATTCACCAATCCATCCACCTGTCAATCCACTTATTCACCCATTGATCCCACTGATCCACTGATCCATTCATAATCATACCTATCCCATTCATACAGCTTCCACTCACCCACCCACAGTCCCCATCTCTGCACAGTTTTGGGGTGTAAAATACCAGGCACCGAGACTGAAGTGTGTGTGACAGTGTCCCAGGTGACAGGTGAGTGAGGGCTTCTGGGAAGGGATGCGGTGGGCACAGGGCAGGTTCAGGGGCTGTAGTTGCACAGGAAACACCTTCGCCGTTGTTCAGGCTGAATGCCACCACAAAACCTTGGTGCCCAGAATAACTGCATGCCCTCACTGTGCCCCTGCTCGGTCTGGGCTGCTAGCCTCCCTGTGGTCTGAGGCTTGTTTGGCTCTGTGGGCTCCTGAGCCTGGAAAAGGAAGGTGCCTCCCCACAAGAGAGGAAGTGGCCTGTTCTGCATGATCCTGCCTCCATCTGCAGGCTGGGGTGTGGAAGGGTTGCCTTTGGGGAGCAGAGCTAGCTTCCTTTTGGGGAGTGCAAGTTCCTAAGCACCCCTTTTCTTGTTACAGGAGGAACATCCTTCCCAGGTGCTTAGGGAACCTTCCCTAGAGGCAGCTGTCCTGAAAGGGGTTTCTGCAGGCTGATGCAGTGGGGGTGTGGACACATTGCAGCTGTCTTCAGCTCTGACCTTGCAAACTTAAGTGCTCCCCCACAGTACCTGTAAAAGGACAGAGGGGTGCTACCCTGGGGTGGACACCAGAGGGCATCCAGCCTCTGGAAAGCCAGCCTGCTCAGCTGCTGTGTGATCTTTGGCAGAACACATACCCTCTCTGGTCCTTTTGACAGAGCTGGGCAGGATGCCAACACGAATTCTTCCTCTGGTTTGACTCTGAGAGTCCATTGTTGTCTGGGTTGGCGAATTTATCTTGTGAATATTCTGATTAAGAGTCTGTAAGTCTCGGGTCCTGTCTTTCTCGAATTTTCTCAACTACGCACTGAGGGGATTGTTCCACGATGCAGGCCAGCTCAGGGTGAGCTGAGGTTCTGAGAGGACTGGGTTGTTCCTCCTAAGGTCTCACTTTGGAGGTGGCCTTCTTTTGATCTGGCCCCTGCAGGACTCCTGGCATTGGCAATGTCTCCTGTCAGCTTGTGGGGCACCCATGAGGAAAAGATGCTCTGGTGCTGGCCCTCCGTCACTGCTGCCACCACCCAGGGTAGAACCAGCTCCCCGTCTCCCCCCCACCCCTTTCCCTCTTTTTTCCTCTCTGCTCCCAGGTGTCCTCTCTCCCTCACTCTGTTTCTCTCTTCCTCCCTCACATCCATCATCTCTCTCCTTCACTCCTTTATCAGGTTATTTGCTCATTCAACAAACACAGTTGGGGATTTGCAGTTTCATTTCCAACAGAGAAGTTTGTCAACCTGATGTGACCTATCAGACTCGTCGGGGTGGCTGTGCCGCAGCAGGCTCCATGGAGCTCATGTTAGGCTCTTGCCCTCTCTGGACCCCCATTTCCTCTTCGAGGAACAGGGCTTGGGGGTCCACAGGAAGACTTGCAGCCTCGTGAGACATTTGGGCTGCTATTTTGGTGGGGAGACCAGGCATCCTGTGTAGAGATGGGGACTCTCTTGGGAGCTTCTGGAGGGGGGCCCCCTTGGCCCCTGTGAATGGGAGCTGCGGGAACGCAGACTCTTGAGAAGCACGCCGTGAAATCTGGGCGCACGCGGAGCTGCAGAGCAAGGGTTGGGTGGATGCGGAGGGGCCTTTGATGGGCTTTTGGGCTGCGTAATTAACTGTAACCGAAATATTATTTGATCTTTTATGTGGAAAATCAAATTGTGTTGTGTCAGACGGGCATAAATACACCACAGTTTGCGCTGCTGGGCCCTCCCCACCGGCGGCCCCCCGCCCCTCCGCCATGGAAACACAATTCTCGCCTTTTAAACTCGCCTTTGTCTGGGCCCTGAAAGGCTGCATTGTCCAGGGGAAGAGCGGGCAGGGTTGGGGCCCAGAACGGGGCTGCAGAGGGATCCAGCCCCAGACAGTGCTGCTCGGGGCTCAGCCTCTGCAGCTTCTTTTCCTGGCCCGGGCAACCTTGGGCAAAGAGCCTCAGTTTCCCCCTGGGTCCTGAGGCCCGAGCCTCTGTCTTGGGTGGAAAAAGTCACTCCGGGGCAGTTCCAGCTCTGAAAGTAGTTTGACATGCTGGCAGCTACTTTTATACAGGTGACAGAGCTCAGCAGGTGACCTGGGTACTGGCCACTCCTCCCTGGAAGCAAGGGGAAACAGGAGAAGTGGGGGGCGGGGGGGAAGGGGAGGGGAAGGGGGGGAGGGGGAGGGGGCGGAGGGGAAGGGGGGAGGGGGAGGGGGCGGAGGGGGAGGGGGCGGAGGGCACAGCCTAGGATCTGGAACAGGGGTGGGTTCAAGTTACATCAGAGCCACTTAGCAGCTTGATGGCCTCTCTGGACCTCAGTTTCCCCACCTGTTGGGTGAAGGCATCCTCTAATCCTCTAATCTTCCGGCCTCAGCCTCTCTTGGAGTGTATCGTGCCTGGCTTTTAGTGGAACATTATTTGTGGTGCTGGAGACAGACCCAGAGCCCACCGGATGCTGAAACAGATGCTGCGCTCCAGGGGCACTCTGGCCCTGTGGGGACCTTGCTGACTCTTAGAGGCTTCCGGACCCCCTCCTCTGTTCTCTCCAGTGTCCTCCTGGAGCACCTTCTGCTCCCTGCCTGGAGCCCAAGAGGATCTCAGACGTGACTCCTCTGATTCAGCAGTCTCAGGGCCTGGAACAGCCTGGAGGTGGGAGCTGCATTTGCACCCAGCACACTCTGGCTCCATCAGGGCCCAGGCTCTTCTACAACCCCATGACAGATGTCTTATCCCCCCTACAGGAAAAACTGGGGCCGGGGCAGGAGGAATCTGAGATGGCCTAGTAAAAACACCGTGAGCTGGAGCCCAGCCAAACCAAACATCCTGGAATTAAAAAAAATAAACATGGGAGAAAGAGAGAGGGAGGGAGTCGGGGAGGGAGGGAGGGAGGGAGGGAGGGAGGGAGGGAGGGAGAGGGTGATTGTCTGAACCTGTAATTCTGACTTGAGTGGTGGAGGGGACCTTAGTTCTCTGCTAGGGGTGCCAGGCTTACAGATCTCAAAGAGACCCCAGGCCAGGGAGACGGAGGCCAGCAGGGGCCACCTTCACAAGTTCCAGAAGGAACCTGCACCTAGCTCATGCCCATCCCTGAAATCTCAGCACCAACTGGAAAAGCAGTACCAGCAGGCTGTGGGACTCCAGGTGCCTAGCACCTTCCTGGTGTACCCAAGCAGGGCATCCCCACAGGCAGCTCTCCTGGATGCCTCTCTGCACAGAACACCTCCTAAGTGTTGTATGCAGAGGCTCCACAGCACAAAGGAGGACATTTGGACACATAAATACATATACTTTATATTCTTCTAAAAGTTGTTTTGGGGGCTAGAGGAATGTCTTACCGGTTAAGAGAACTTGTGGAAGACCTCATGGCAGCTCACAGCCCTCTGTAATTTCGGGGGGGTGGGTCTGACTCCCTTTTCTGGCCTCTGTAGGCACCAGGCACACACATGGCGCACACACGTACTTGCAGGCAAAACAACCCACATATACAAAAATAAAATAAATAAATCTAAAAATAACTTTTTCTTTTTTATTAAAATGAAAGTTATTTTGGGGGCTGGGGCATGGCTCAATTGCCGCCAAGCCCGAGGAACCTATCTGAATTCAATTCCTGGGGAATGAGAAAACCAGCTCCCCAAAGTTGTCCTCTGACCTCCACATGCATGCTGTAAAATGAGTGTTCCTATGAGCATGCCCATGCAAAAACTCACACTAAATAAATTAGTTAAATTTTAATGTGTTCCTTGGGCTGGAGAGATGGCTCGGTAGTTAAGAGCACTGGCTGTTCTTCCAAAGGACCTGGGTTCAATTCCCAGCACACATAGGGAGGCTCCCAACCCTCTGTAGCTCCAGTTCCTGGGGATCCAACGCTCTCTTCTGACCCCTACAGGCACCAGGCAAAAAAAAGGTGCACAGCTATGTGTGCATGTAAAACACCCAAACACACAAAGTAAAAATAAGCTTTAAAAAAGAATCCTTTGGCTTTCAAAGGAAACTGAATCCTTTCCAACCCTCCAAGAGCAGTGGGCTCTGAGGCTCCTGGATGGATGAGTCAGCTTAGCACAGAGGGAAACTGAGGCACCAGGAGGAAGCTGAGGCTCCTATGGATCAAGCCGTTTAGGGACACAGGAGCTGAAGTCCTCAAGGCTCAGTGTGTGACTGATATGGTGTGAGTCCTCAGAAAAGCCTGGAACAGCCTGGCAGGGCAAAGGGCCCCATGTTGGCCTGGGGCTGCCTACAGCTGGTATCTGTGGGGTCCCCAGATTCTACAGATCAGTCCCCAAGAAGCCAGACCCAGGGGTCCAGACATCTGCTGTTAACCCTTTGCAGTGTCCTGCCCCAGCTCTCCTCTTCTAAAGGGCCCTGAAACACCTCATGGGGCGTGTGTGTGTGTGTGTGTGTGTGTGTGTGTGTGTGTGTGTGTGGTCCCTTCCATCACACCTACTCCGGGGCTCCTGCAGGCGGGATGCTGGCCTTTCCCAGCACTTGCTCCCTTCTGAGGCAGGAGAGGCGGAGGTGTGCGGAGGTGTGCGTACTGGTACTCCACCTGGAGGCCTCACCTCTGCCACCCAGCTGTAGAACCGGGGAGTCTCAGGGTGCCCCTGGCAACTGTCTTTAATGTTGCTCTGAGGCTGGCTGACCCCTTCTGAGACACCTGTGGCAGGGAGGGGGTTAAAGAGTTCATTCCTGAACAACATGTGCGTGCATGCTTGAGTGCAGGGCAGGGGTCGGCATCAGACATCCCCGGTGGCTCCCCACCTTGTCTTTTGAGGCGGGGTCTCACTGAGTCTGGAGCTCCTGAATTCAGGCAGATTGGTTAACAGTGAGCTGTAGGGAGCCTCCCACCCCCATCTCCCTAGTGATGGTATTCCAGTGTGCACAATGGCGCAGCCTCCACGTGAGTGCTGGGAGTCTGAACTAGTTCCCTATGCTTTGGGGGCAGGCTCTTTCCCCAGCCCCTGCCTCAATTTCTCTCATTCCTTTCTGCTCACAGCTGTCAATACTGGCTTCCCATTGAAAGGCTGTGCCCCAAAGTGTCTCAACATAGGTAGTTGCTCATTCACTTTTTTCTCCCCCAATCGGGAGAAAGTGTCCCATCCCACGAGGCATAGGAACAGAAGCCGGGGGATTGGGATTGGGAAAATCCACCCTTGGAGTGGGCCATCCCTGAAGTGCCTTTTTTAACTTGAACTCTCCAGCATGTCTGTAGGCCTGGTGACCACATCTCCAGCAATAACATGGGCAGGGCTGGGTGCCACAGGGGGCCTCCCCGACCACCACTGTGGTTTCCTCTCTTGCCTTGGCCTGGCTATGCCGTCCTTTCTCGTGGATCATCATTTTGCATGCTGTCCCAGTTATCTGTGCCACAAACTCTCCCAGAACTTGGTAGCTTAAAACAGTAACATCCAGGAAACTACTGTTTGAACAGGACCCCGAGGTACGGCTCCCCCTGGTTGGGCAGTCGGCTGGGGCTTGACCAACAAGTGGCCTCAGGTTGGAGACCAGGAGGTTAAGTGTGAGTTTTCCCCCGGAATAAAGTAGAAACACAGGACATTGTGAAGGTGAGCCTTTTTGTTGCTCCTGGTTAGTTAGGGCATCGTAAAGACCCGCCCAGGCTCAGAGGTGAGGACAAGGCTCGGATTCTTCATCATGGTGGAGAGGAGAACATGGGCTCAACCTCTGAAGTTCACCTGTTTGCTTATAATTATTTGTCTCATGAGTGCAATGGCCTCATCACACCCCCAACTTCAGCACCCGTGCCTGGCAAACACTAGGTGCTTAATACGCGCTGTCCGAGAATAAAAATGGCCAAGTCAGCTGGGCGGTGGTGGCGCACGCCTTTAATCCCAGCACTCGGGAGGCAGAGCCAGACGGATCTCTGTGAGTTCGAGGCCAGCCTGGTCTACCAAGTGAGTTCCAGGAAAGGCGCAAAGCTACACAGAGAAACCCTGTCTCGAAAAAAAAAAAGAAAAAAAAAATGGCCAAGTGAATGGAAAAGAGGCAGAGGTAGAATTCAAGGCACCAAAGTCCAGGGAAGGGAGGGATTTTGACAGAGACTGGAAGAGGGGGCATGGCTGAGCAATCCGGTTAGGGCCTGGCAGAGGAGCAGCTGATGTTCAGCCAGCCAAGGGCCGAGAGCCCGGGCGGGGGGGCTTGTGAGGAGCCTGCACCGCCCACTTCAGAGTTTGTGGCCTGTGCCCGGGGCTCAAGGTCAAGGCCATTGAAGGCTTTGTCCAGCAGAGGCCCAGCCAGCGGCTAGAGCCATAGCCTGTCCTGCTGTGGTGGCAGTGGGGACAGGCTGCCTTCCCGAGCAGCAATTTCCTCAGGGTCATAGCAGCTGCAAGCGAGAATAATGAGAAAAAGGAATGTGGGTGACATTTTTCTAAAGAGGAAAAATGTGGAGTTTTGAGTCAAACTGAAAGACTTATTGAGTTCAGGGCAGGATGAGCACTCACTTTGGAGAACAAACTGCTGGATACCGAGGGCAGTGAGGTAGTCGCTCGGGCCTTATCGCATCTGTCTGTCTGTCAGCCAGTTCTCCTTGAGAACCTCTGCTCCTCCACAAGCAGAGACCCCCACATCCATCCTACATCGGAGTGGGATGGGGCTGCCCACCAGCAGGGCACCTCTGTCCTCGGGGAGGGAGGACAGACAAAATTCACAGCTCGGCCCACTCTGTTCACCCAGCACTTTCCGTTTTCTCTTGAGAAAGTCGGCTCGCTCCTCTGTGCATTCGCCACACGATCTTATTTCTGACCCCTTTCTCAAGCTCTCAGGGCTCAGGGAGTGCAAAGGGACCTTGGCGGTGACGCCATAAGCAGTGGCTGCCCCGGCCACTAGGTCTCGTGGTCCTCAGCCAGCTTCTCCTCTGTGGCTGGCTCACATGTAGGGTTTCACAGTCAGCAGGCAGCGGAGACCTCTGCCTTCAGACCCCTCTTCTGTTTCCTCTTCAGATCCGTACCCACCACCATCCTGATGGAAGTTTCTCTATTTCTGAGTCGTTAGAAAATCTTCTGCGTGAGAGGCCGAGGGAGGAGTCTCTGGTTCCCATCTCAAAGCGACCCCATGCCTCCCTGCCTCTCCTGTGCAGCTGGACCCCCCTTAAGCCTTCCTGCAGACCCCAAGCTCCTCTCCCAACCCTTCTCCATAGCCGTCTGTGGGGCCTCTGGAGTCTCTAATCAAATCTTGACCCTGCCTGCCTCTTCCCAAGCCCTGCCACCCACTCCCAACAGAGGCCACCATCCACTCTCCTCTTGTGGTCTCCGGGGCCTTCTGGACCCCTCTGTCACCCACACAGCCCACTACCCCCACACACTGAGGGGCAACTGGAGATTGTGTGATGGTTGACACAGGGTCCAGGCTCCACCCACCGCCAACCCCACCATCCTCTCCAAGCCTCCATCTAGCTCACTGCTGACTCTGTCCATCACCTAACCCTACCCACAGTTAGTCCCATCCATCCTCCATTTCCAATCACTGCCCATCTGGCCCGTGGCCAGACTGCTCTCACCCCACCCTCAAGACCCAACTTTACCTTCAATTTACAGACTGTCTGAACCCTCTCGCTCTTGATCCCTGCCTGCCCACTGCATTGAACTCTCTCCCTCTTGTCAACATCCCAGCATCACCACATATTTCTGCAGATCTGGAGGCTGAGTGTGTGTTCACTCCTCCTGGACAGGAAGCCAAGCCCTACACTGGGGTACTACAGTCCCAGCTGTCTGGGCCTGGGGTCATAGCATGGATTGCTATCTAGGAATGGAGGCATTTGAACTACGGGGATAATCTTCCTTGTGAAGTATAAAGTATTAAGGGTTGGAAATTAAATTACTTCAGGGCAGGGGTCGGGGCCCAAGACAGAC